TCAAATACACAAAATATACATTCTTGTCAATACCACATCACACCTACCCACAGGTTTAAATGAAACATTGACTGGCCATTATTAATACCCAATTTTTTTCAGAATAAAGCAATATTTCCATTTACTCTCTCTCTTTCTCTTCCTCTTTCTTCCTCTCCTTTACTTATTTTTTTTTTTCTTTCCTTCTCTCAAAAAAAAAGAAATCAACGTGTAAACCTCTAGATCCAGGTCGGCAATGTCTCTCTCATTGCTTGATTTCCTTCCTCCCCTTCCCTCCCTCCCTCCCCTCTTCCTCCCTTCCTTCCTTCCTTCCTCCCTACCATCCTCCTTCCCTCCCTTCCTGCCTTCCTCCCAAAAAAAAAAAAAAAAACAAAGGTAGAAATAAAGATCTTTTTTGAAACCAATAAGAATGAAGACACAATGTACCAGAATCTCTGGGACACATTTAAAGCAGTGTCTAGAGGGAATTTTACAGCACTAAATGCCCACATGAGAAGTTAGAAAAGATCTAAAATTGACACCTTATCATCAAAATTAAAAGAACTAATGGAGCAAGATCAAACAAATTAGAAAGCTAGCAGAAGACAAAAAGTAAGATCAGAGCAGAACTGAAGGAGATAGAGCATAAAAAACCCTTAAAAAAAAAAATCAATGAATCCAGGAGGTGGTTTTTTCAAAAGATCAACAAAATAGATAGACCACTAGCCAGACTAATAAAAAAAAAAGAAGGGCTATTACCACCGATTCCACAGAAATACAAACTACCATCAGCGATTACTACAAACAACTCTATGCACATAAACCAGTAAATGTGGAAGAAATAGATAAATTCCTGGATACTTGCACACTCCCAAGACTAAACCAGAAAGACGATGAATCCCTGAATAGACCAATAACAAGGTCTGAAGTTGAGGCAGCAATTAATAGCCTACCAACAAAAAAAGTCCAGGACCAGACTGGTTCACAGCCAAATTCTACCAGACGTACAAAAAGGAGCAGGTACCATTTCTTCTGAAACTATTCCGAATACAAAACAAGGAAATCCTCCCTAACTCATTTTATGAGACCAACATCCTCCTGATACCAAAACCTGGCAGACACACAACTAAAAAAGAAAATTCCAGGACAATATCCATGATGAACATTAATGTGAAAATCTTCAATAAAATACTGGCTGACTAAATCCAACAGCATATCAAAAAGTTTATCCATCACGATCAAGTCAGCTTCATCCCAGGGATGCAAGGCTGGTTCATATGCAAATCTATAAACACAATCCATCACATAAACAGAATCAAAGACAAAAAACACATGATTATCTCAATAGATGCAGACAAAATTCAACAGCCTGTATACTAAAAACTCTCAATAAACTAGGTATCAATGAAACGTAACTCAAAATAATAAAAGCTATTTATGGCAAACTCACAGCCAATGTCATACTGAATGGGCAAAAACTGGAAGCATTCCCTTTGAAAACTGGCACTAGACAAGGGTGCCCTCTCTCACCACTCTTATTCAACATAGTATTGGAAGTTCTAGCCAGAGCAATCAGGCAAGAAAAAAACATTAAGAGGTATTCAATTAGGAAAAAAAGAAGTCAAACTGTCTCCATTTGTAGATGACGTGATTTTATATTTAGAAGACCCCATCATCTCAGCCCAAAATCTCCTTAATAAGCAACTTCAGCAAAGTCTCAGGATACAAAACCAATGTGTAAAAATCACAAGCATTCCTACACACCAATAACAGAAAAACAGCCAAATCATGAATGAACTCCCATTGACAATTGTTACAAAGATATTAAAATACCTAGAAATATAACCAACAAGGGACGCGAAGGACCTCTTCAAGAACTACAAACCACTGCTCAAGGAAATAAGAGAGGACACAAATGGATTGAAAAACATTCCATGCTCATGGATAGAAAACATATCGTGAAAATGGCCATACTGCCCAAAGTACTTTATAGATTCAATGCTATCCCCATCAAGCTACCATTGACCTTCTTCACAGAACTGGAAAAAACCATCTTAAAACTTAAAAACCACCTTAAAAAACTTTATATGGAACCAAAAAAGAGCTTGTATAGCCAAGACAATCCTAAGCAAAAAGAACAAAGCTGGAGGCATCATGCTACCTGATTTCAAACTATACTACAAGGCTACAGTAATCAAAACAGCATGGTACTGGTACCAAAACAAAGATATAGACCAATGGAACAGAACAGAGGCCTCAGAAAGAATGTCACACATCTACAACCATCTGATCTTTGACAAACTGGACAAAAGCAATGGGGAAGGGATTCCCTGCTTAATAAATGGTGTTGGGAAAACTGGCTAGCCATGTGCAGAAAGCTGAAATTGGACCCCTTCATACACCTTATACAAAAATTAACTGCAAATGGGTTAAAGATTTTAAACATAAGAACTAACACCATAAAAAAATCCTAGAAGAAAACCTAGGCAATACCATTCAGGACATAGGCATAGGCAAGGACTTCATGACTAAAACACCAAAAGCAATGGCAACAAAAGCCAAAATAGACAAATGGGATGTAATTAAAGAGTTTCTGCACCACAAAAGAAACAATCATTAGAGTGAACCAGCAACCAACAGAGTAGAAAAAAATTATTGCAAGCTACACATCTGACAAAGGGCTAATATCCACCATCTATGAAGAACTAAAACAAATTTACAAGAAAGAAACAAACAACCCCATCAAAAAGTGGGTGAAGGCTATGACAGACACTTTTCCAAAGAAAACATTCATGCAGCCAACAAACATATGAAAAAATGCTCATCATCACTGGTCATTAGAGAAATGCAAATCAAAACCACATTGAGATACCATTTCACACCAGTTAGAATGGTGAGCATTAAAAAATCTGGAGTCAACATATGCTGGAGAGGATGTGGAGAAATAGGAACGCTTTCACATTGTTGGTGGGAGTGTAAATTAGTTCAGTTGTTGTGGAAGACAGTGTGGTGATTCCTCAAGGATCTAGAAATAGAAATACCATTTGACCCAGCAATCCCACTACTGGGTAGATACCCAAAGGATTATAAATCGATCTATTATAAAGACACATGCACGCGTATGTTCATTGTGGCGCTGTTTACAATAGCAGGAACCAACCCAAATGCCCATTGATGATAGACTGGACAAAAAAATGTGGCACATATACACCATGGAATACTAGGCAGCCATAAAAAAAGATGAGTTCATGTCCTTTTTAGGGACATGGATGAAGCTGGAAACCATCATTCTTAGCAAACTGACACAAGAACAGAAAAATACCACATGTTCTCACTGATAAGTGGGTGTTGAACAATGAGAACACATGGACACAGGGAGGGAAACATCACACACTGGGGTCTGTTGGGGGCTGAGGAGGCTGGAGGAGGGATGGCAGGAGGTGGGGGTGATTGCGGAGGGATAACATTAGGAGAAATACCTAACGTAGGTGATTGGGGGATGGAGGCAGCAAACCACCATGGCAATGTGTATAGCTATGTAACAATCCTATACGATCTGCACATGTACCCCAGAACTTAAAGTATAATAAAAATAAAAATAAATTTTAAAAACTAGCTGGGTGTGGTGGCACAGGCTTGTAATCCCAGCTACTGGGAAGGTGGAGGCATGATAATCACCTGTGCCCAGGAGGCAGAGATTGCAGTGAGATCATGCCATTGCACTCCAGCCTGGCTGACAGAGCAGGACTCTGTCTCAGTAACAGATTAAAAAACTGCCTCTTCCTCCTCAACCTCTTCACTTCTGGTTCACTTTCCCGTTACATATATTTGATTTAAAAGCTTCTTACTGTCAAGATGAGTCCATGTAGAAATTTTTGCATTTTATAATGTTAAAAAAAAAAGCAGGGGAAAATATGTCCTCTTAGGAGTGTAAAAATAATTAAGAATAATTAAGTGGCAAGCAATTAGACTGAGGTGGCTGCAGTCCTTGATTTCTACTTTTAAAAAAATCTAATTCAAGTGCATTTTTGTTTGTTTTTGGGTAAATTACTACATTGGGGGAAAGAAAATTCATGCTTAACCAAGTATAAACAGCCAATTAACCTTTGATTACATAACCAGGAAATTTCCATCCTGATTGTATTAATTAAGAAACTACTAACCATATCTAACCAATTACTGAATTTGGCTTTCTTCATTGCACACTTTATAAAACTTTTTCCTTCCATAGACCGTAAAGTACAAACCATAGCTGGGTGCTCTACAATTTTTGAATTCGATTAAATTCTTTATTATTTTAGTGGTGACTGCCATAAATTCTTTTTTTTTTTTTGATTCGGAGTTCCGCTCTTGTTTCCCAGGCTGGAGTGCAATGGCGCAATCTCGGCTCACCGCAACCTCCGCCTCCTGGGTTCAAGCAATTCTCCTGCCTCAGCCTCCTAAGTAGCTGGGATTACAGGCATGCGCCACCATGTTCAGCTAATTTTTTGTATTTTTAGTAGAGACAGGGTTTCACCATGTTGACCAGGATGGTCTCGATCTCTTGACCTCGTGATCCACCCGCCTCGGCCTCCCAAAATTCTGGGATTACAGGCTTGAGCCACCGCGCCCGGCCAGACTGCCATAAATTTTTAATAGGAGAAAAGAAAAACTGAAAACCTCACGGACCATTCACGAACGCTCACCCATTCATGAACCCTGTTCCCATTCACGAACCTGCACCCCAGTCAGGATTCTCCCCTGATAATGCTTCCGTGGTCCCTGCATAATTGGAACAGATGTGGAGCTGAGGATGCAGAGCTGCCTAAAGAGGGCTCCAGGCTAGGTCACAGTCACTGCTCAGGGAAGAGACAGGACGCCTGGGTCCCAGCTGTCAGCGCAGCCGCCATCTTATTGCTGAAGGGCATTGAGGCCCAGCTGGGCAAGGAGAACTCCAGGTGCAGATTGTGGCGCTGACTGCGCGGAGGCCTGAGTCCCGCCACGGCCCTTTCCCTTTCTCGGGGTGTTGGACTAGCACTCACCATTTCTAGGCTTCCAGGGGGTCCTAGCGTCTTAGGTGTGCGTCTCCCAATACCTGCAGGTCACAGGGCCACAGAGGCTGAGGTCACAGAGAAGTGAAGACGAGACCTAGAACTCGAGCGGCAACGAGAAACAACGGTCCCGCCCCACGTCCTGAAAGCCGCCCCTTCCGCTCCAGCTGCGTGCCTGATTGGACGATTCCAACCCAGTGTTCCTGATTAAAGGGCTTAAATCCCCGCCTCCTCAGGCCCCGAGTGACGGAAGATGTGATCAGATGCTGGGCTGGATGTAGAGTGATAGGCCCGGGACCGTGGCTTAAGCCTGTAATCGCAGCACTATGGGAGGCCGAGGAGGGTGGATCACCAGAGGTCAGGAGCTGGAGACCAGCCTGGCCAACATGGCAAAATCCCGTCTCTACTAAAAATAAAAATTAGCTGGGTGTGGTGGCAGGAGCCAGTAATCCCAGCTACTCTGGAGGCTGAGGTATGAGAATCACTTGAAGGCCGGGCGCGATGGCTCAAGCCTGTAATCCCAGCACTTTGGGAGGCTGAGGCGGGTGGATCACGAGGTCAAGAGATCGAGACCATCCTGGTCAACATGGTGAGACCCCGTCTCTACTAAATATACAAAAAATTAGCTGGACGTGGTGGCGCGTCCCTGTAATCCCAGCTACTCAGGAGGCTGAGGCAATTCTCCCTGAACCCAGGAGGCAGAGGTTGCAGTGGACCGAGATCGCCCACTACACTCCAGCCTGGGTGATAGAGCAAGATTCTGCTACATTGAAGTACAGCTCTGATGTCAGGGGAGGGAAGGGACTGAACAAATCTTTTCTGCCAAAGGTGAAAAAAGAGCCTTTCCCTACCAACATCTCTCTTCATCTCTGAGGAAGGAACAGATAGTAGCCATAGAAAAAGGAGAGGACAGCAAGAATAAAATAACCACAGGTAGACCACTGCTGGCCACTTGTTGCCCACGATTCTTCCAGAGACCAGAAGATGAACAAAGGATGATAAGGCCACAGGAGAAGAAACCTCTATGTATTTAAATCTGGGCAGTCTTGACCTCCAATGTTTAGATATGAAGAAAACAGACTAAAGGCAAACTCACTTTTCTATTTGGGCTTGGCCCTAATGGTCCGGCTGTGGTTATTTGTTTTCTCATGTGATGTGGGGGAGAGGGGGCTATGTGAGTATAGGCACCAATTTCATGCATACATGTCCATGTATATTTCTGCATTACTCAGCATTCTCTTATGAGGCATCCAACTTTAAATCAGGGGGAAAATAAAGTACCTATAGTATGTGCTCGCTGTTAGAAGGGAACTGGTAATCAACCTGTCATTGAATCCTGGCATCCCATCCGCATTGGGTGCATGCATTAGTTAGCTATTGCAGCATAACAAATCATTCCAAACTTATTTGCTCATAATTGAGATGCTCAGCTATTTAGGCTGGGCTCAGTGAGGCCATTCTTTTTGTCTCAGCTGAGCTCCTCCAGACATGTATCTTCAGCTGTTTGTTGAATAAGCAGCTGTGCTTCTGGGGATGAGCTTCTGCTTCTGAGGCTGTCAAAAGGGGCACCTTGCTTCCTTTCCCCATCTTATCTTCCAGCTGGCTAACATGGGCCATTTTTCATGGAGATGACAGCATTCTGAAAGAAGAAAAAACAGAAGCATTCAAGACCTTTTGAGTCTTGGTCCCAAACTAGTACATTGTCCTGTTCATAGGTTTCTACTGCTCTAAGTGAATAAGGCCAGCACAATCTAGGGTTTGGGAAACATTATGGTGGCTCTCAATAGGAACCGATTTAAAAGCACCAGGCAATGGGCATGGATACAGAAAAAACTAAAACCTGCTACAATTTTTGAAGTCAATATCATTCTGCCTTTTTTTTTTTTTTTTTTTTTTTTTTTTTTTTTTGCATATGTGGTTTATAAAACTCTTTCACATCAAGAATCTTGTCCAAAGACACACAGCAATTAAGTGGCTGGGCCGAGACTCAGGATCAACTCCATCTGACTCCAACTCCCATGCACCTCCGTAGATGACACTACTAAAGTAGCTGCCCTAGACTCTTATTTCCTGGAGAGTGACACTTCTACAATAGAAGCCAGATTCTTTTTATCGTATTTTCTGTTAATTTATTTAACTTCTTTTGAGAAAGGGCCTTGCTCTGTCACCCAGGCTGGAGTGCAGTGGTGCAATCTTGGCTCACTGTAATATCTTCCTCCCAAGTTCAAGTAATTCTCCTTTCAAGTAGTTGGAATTTCAGGTGCTTGTCACCATGCCTAATTTTTGTATTTTTAGTAGAAATGGGGTTTCATTATGTTGGCCAGGCTGGTCTCAAACTCCTGACCTCAAGTGATCTGCGTGCCTAAGCCTCCCAAGGTTCTGGGCTTGCCAGTGTAAGCCACAGTGCCCAGCACACATTTCTTTTAAATTTGTACCAATATAGTACTGTTTATCATTGGGAATAATGCTCTCAAGAATTTGCAAAAGCACACAGTGGCTCACACCTGTAATCCTAGCATTTTAGGAGTTTGGTATGAAAGAATTACATGAACTCAAGAATTCAAGTGCAGCCTGGGTGACACAGTAAAAATCCGTCTTCATAAAAAATAATTTAAAAATTAAGGCTGGGTGCGGTGGCTTAACGCCTATAATCCCAGCACATTGGGAGGCCGAGGTGGGTGGATCACAAGGTCAAGAGATCAAGACCATCCTGGTCAACAAGGTGAAACCCTGTCTCTACTAAAAATACAAAAATCAACTGGGCATGGTGGCACACCTGTAATCCCAGCTACGTGGGAGGCTGAGGCGGGAGAATTGCTTGAACCCAGGAGGTGGAGGTTGCAGTGAGCTGAGATCTCACCATTGCATTCCAGCCTGGGTAACAAGAGCGAAACTCCGTCTCAAAAAAAAAAGTTTAAATGGGCAAAGAATGATTTGCAAATTGGGCAGCCTGTGGATCCAGAGTAGGCTCAGAGAAAATGCACAAAGCCACAGGGTGAAAAAAGATTTACGAACAGAAAAAGCATTGACATACACAGTGGGAGTGAGGTATAGAAACAGCCAGATTGATTACAGCTTGAGATGTGTCTTACTCAAACGTGGTTTGAACAGCTGATATCCTTTTGTTGCTAATAACACAGTTGTTGGTCCAAGAGTGGGTTACAGTCTATTTACATATCCAGTTAGGTTTTAGTTTACTATGTACAGAAAACTCATTGACAAAAATTAAACAGAAAAAAAGGCAGCTTTCGGCTATAATTGATTTAACAATTTCTCTCTTTTGGTCATCTCCTCAATTTTTAGAGATAGACCAAAACTTTAGACATTGATATCATTCTGTCACCATCAAAATTGTACCTATTTAGTCTCAAATCCCACTGTGAAATAGCAGAACTGTGGATTTCATAAAATGAAAACAAGGACTTTAGGTTATTATTTCTAAAAAAAATTACTGTAGAAATTTTTTTGTTAAAATCTGCTGTTTACAGAATAAAACAAAACCTGGACTGCTTTAGGATCTACCCATTTTCTTACATTTTTGTTTGATTATGTCACATTTAGCACGAGTGACTCCATAGAATAATGAATTTAAAAAGAATTCTCAGATAATTTCTTCATGCTTGTTTCCAGATAATTTTATTCTCCACTGCAGGCTATTTTTTTTTAACCATGGATTCATTTTGCCTGACATCATACAATATGTATTATTTTATTTCAATCTTGTCTCATCTGGCAGGCTTATGAGATACATCCATGGTTTGTAATTTAGTAGTTCTGTTTTTTTTTTTTTTTTTCCTATGGCTGGGTAGTATTCTCTTGGATGAATGAGATACAATTTGTTCGTTTATTTTTCTAGAGATGGATATTTAGGTTGTTCCCTGCTTTAAGCTATTATGACTAAAACATCTATAAACATTCTTGTGCAAATACTTTTTGGTATATAATTAAATTTCTTTATTAGCATTTAAGTGACATCTCTTTACCTTTCTTAGTGGTTTCTCCAGGAATTACCAAATCCATCTGTAACATATCACAATCTACTAGAGTTTATACTGTACTATTTTAATAAATGTAAAATATGAAAACCTTGCTGTTGAATAATTTCAATTACCTCCTTCTATTTTTTGTGCCATTCATATGTTTTACATCTATGCATTATATATATATCACAATACTGTGTTATAATTTTTTTCTTCAATAGTCCTAAGTCTTATAAAGAAATTGAGAGGAAATGATATTTATAAACATTTGGAAGCAGATACTTTGGGGCTATGTAAATACACTATTTCTCCTGACAATTTTTGCATTTTAAAGTACATCTTGTCTATAGCAATTATTACTGTGGGGTCTTAGTGGTGATTTTCTATTTTGCATTATCTGTCTACATTGATTAGTACTTGGAGTTTTGTAAAGAAATTTTTTTCTTTTTCTATTCTTATTTTTTTCTCTGTATGGATTCATGGACATTTCTTTTATTCTTTGGGCTTGAATCCAATGCTATTAATATTTACTGTGTTTCTGATATTTTTCAAGCTTGGGCTCCTGGGAAGTCTTTCAGGTTGATTTTCTCTGACATGGCTGCTTCTGTTGTTTATAAAGCACTTTAAAACTTTTTGGCTTCACAATATTTTACCTTAACTTACATTTTCTACTCCAGTGCTAGAATTATCTTTTTTTTTTTTTTTTTTTTTTGAGTCGGAGTTTCACTCTTGTTACCCAGGCTGGAGTGCAATGGCACGATCTCGGCTTACCGCAACCTCTGCCTCCTGGGTTCAGGCAATTCTCCTGCCTCAGCCTCCCGAGTAGCTGGGATTACAGGCATGCGCCACCATGCCCAGCTAATTTTTTGTATTTTTAGTAGAGACGCGGTTTCACCATGTTGACCAGGATGGTCTCGATCTCTTGACCTCATGATCCACCTGCCTCAGCCTCCCAAAGTGCTGGGATTACAGGCTGGAGCCACTGTGCCCGGCCTAGAATTATCTATTATTACAAGTAGTCTTGCTTTTTTTAAAATTGAAGAATAGTACTTAGAAACCATGATATGAGAGCTAGGTATGTTTATTAATTCTGAAGTCTTGCTGCTTCTGCAACCTCTCAGCAAACAGAGTTTGAAAAGGTACATGTTAATACTGACTCCTGTATGAACACATCTCTCTCCTTTTCTCTCTCCCAATAGATATGTTATGAAATATACATTTATCCAAATATTCTCAACTCCAATATACAATTCTCTTTTTTTTCAGCTTCAGAGAGAAGCAGGCACTAATCACATCTCAAAATAATAAAATCTATTTATGACACACCCACAGCCAACATCATACTGAATGGGGAAAAACTGGAAGCATTCCCTTTGAAATCTGGCACTAGACAAGGATGCCCTCTCTCACCACTCCTATTCAATATAGTATTAGAAGTTCTAGC